CATTTGCAATTAATGTGATTTACGCTACATAATGTATCCTTATCTTCATACATCTTAGTCATATTTAGTGTGAGAACAGAAAGGAAACGACGAAGCTACTTGCGTATTGCATTAATACAACCGTAGGACAATTGCAAATATTTTTATTATTTATTATTTATTACTTATTACTATCACAGTTAGATAAAATATCTGTTTTCTCGAAACGAGCCTTTCCGTAGCGTTATATAAAATTAGTGGACAACGTGAGAAATATTTTAACTACGGATCCTTTACTAGTTTACTGTTCAGAAATCCTGAACACTATGTTTCTATTGAACAAGTCCAATCGTTTTGGACAGATTTCATTGCCGTGATTATGTGAGTTTCTATTTCTCGTATTTCATTCGTATTTTACTTATTCTATTTCCAACATTTACTTGAACCTGGCCGTCTCTAATAAAATTACTGCAACAAAGTCAAAGGATCGCAAAAGATTATTATAATTTGTTATTTTCGCGTTGTAGTTTGTAACATTATATAATAATGTTATAAAATTAATGTGAACAAATATTTAACGATAAATCGAGCTGTATAAATTCTTTTGAGTAGAATGATAGAGAAATCGTATATATTTTAACAAACAAAATTTGTGACAATTGGTAACATTTCTAACTGATAGAAACGTTTCCTTCAAGTTATGCGTGAATGTTTTAATTAATTTTTGAGAAGCACAGTACGAAAATTTCTTATCTATACGAAATTAATTAAATGTTCAATTTCTTAACTTTACATCATTGAAATGAATACAAATTATTACTTTTTGCTTACTTTTGCAAGTTTTTCAATTCAGTTTCTCTAACATTTAAATGTGTTACAAAATTATACAATAAAGAAAGGCATATTATTATTTAATTAGGCCTTAATTATCTACCTTTCTACATTCTCATTATTTTATATAATTTGTCGGTTCTTATGTTAATAATAAATGTCCTTTACATTTATTATATTATTATAATACTTAGTAATTAGATGTTTCTATCAGTTTTTACAATTAGATCAACAACTTTTAGTTCAGATTGCGTTAAAAAGATTAAGTTACACTTAATAGAATTTATGGCAAGTATATGTATATCACGGAACTAAATAGTACGGAGGAATGTACGAATTTTTTTACAAACGATTCGAATTGCAGAGTCCTTAACACTTTGAGTCAATGAATGCTTGTCTTTTTCTCGAGTGGAAGTAGATAATATAATTTCAACACTTTCATAAAAATGAGAAAGAAGAAATGTGAAAAGTAAATTGGTATAGTATGTAGACAGTGACTATTAAATTTCCAGTTTAAACAATTTTTAAAAGTTAAATTTTTGTAAGTTTGAAAAGTATTACGACCATCTTTGAAACATAACGAGTTTTAAATGAATGCAATTGAGTTTGAAAGTAATAACAGGACAATCAACTGTCAACATGCATGTAACAAAAAAAGAAAAGAAGAATGAAAAAAGTTATACGTTTTAGATAGTCATTGTAAACTTAAATTTTTCTACTTTTCTATTTCTGAGATTGATAATAGTTGACGCGACATTGAAAATCATAGTTGAAGGAAATTGGTGCAAGATATACTGAAATTCTATTTTGTTTCTCAAATTAGAAAACGTTAATCAATAAAGTAATATTGTTTCAATGTTATTACGATTCTTTTCTATTTTTTTTTTTTTTTT